CACAGAAGGCTCTCACTCATCCACAGAGTGGATCGAATTTATTCACAATGTGCATATAAGGCTCTCACTCATCCACAGAGTGAATCGAATTCATTCACAATGTGCATATAAGGCTCTCACCCATCCACAAAGTGAATCCAATCCATACACAGAGTGAATCAAATCCATTCACAATGTACACAGAAGGCTCTCACTCATCCACAGAGTGGATACAATTCGTTTACAATGTGCTACAAAGTCCTGCAGTCTATATTACAATGTGCATGGAGCTTCAGGAGATCTGATATACAGAGTGCTATAACCTGCAGGACCTGTGCACAAGCATTCTAGCAGGCTGGTGAGGAATTGTACTACAAACCTGGGATCCAGTAGTGGATATTGAGTCATTGATCCATGATGCTGTAGAGGAGAAGGCCATTGACTTGAAGGCTGAATTCTGCAGCTCCATTCATCATGACTGCATCGCACTTCTCATCCTCATACATGATCTCCAAATGGTATCCCTTCTGAACACCGAATTCAGCTTTTCCCTTGCCCGCCTTTCCCGTGCCTTTGCTGAATCCCTCGAACAACATGAGCACCTCCAAGATGAGCTCTCTACCCTTGTAAGCAGCCCCCAATTTCTGCTCCTCATTGCATCCATGTTGGACATGGCCTGAAACTTTGACTACAGCCCCCTTGCCCAGACCCTCCAGGAGGCCACCTAATCCTCATTGAATGGGGGGTTCAACTCCAGATGATGGCTCTGCTTCCCATTCCTGCTCGATCATATCCAAGTCTTTTTGTACCTCCTCCAGTTCCTGATGTAGCATGTCCCATAGTGATACCTGTGCATCCATTCATGATTTGTATAGAATGACTCTAAAAGCCGCATAGTGGTGCTTTGAAATAGAACCATCTAACTCAGTCAGAATGTATGAGCCTTCTGTATTGCGTCGGATGATGACAATCAGCCCAACATAGCGTGGCTTCAACTTTCAGTTATGATCAGTTTCAAATTGCAAGTTTCGTACCAGCACCAGGTCTCCCACCTCAAACTTAAACTTGCAGATCATGTTCTTAAATGCTTTCTCGAACTGCTTGATCGACTTGAACTGCATGGTCCAGACCCATCTTCAGACCTTCTGCAGGTTCTTATGCCTCTTGAGTAGCTGTCGTGCCCATACTGCCAGAAGCTGTTCCGTCGACATCAGCTCATCCATGGCTGGAGAGAGGTATGTAGCTTCTGTGAGGTCGAATAGAAATACTGGCTCCACCCCATGGACCATAAAATATGGAGACTGCCCAGTACTCTTCTAAATCGAGACCCTTTCCACTCAGAAGACAGCATGTATAACCTTTAGCCAGTCTGTCACATTTCCCTCACTGCAAACCTTCATGGCCACTTCCCAGACATCGAAGTGCCACCATTCCATGATACCGTTTACTTGAGAATTGTATGCTGAGATCTGAATGTGTGTGATTCCATACTGTTTGCGGAGGTACTTCAGTGCCACAATGAATGGTGCTCTGTTGTCCGTGACTATCTCCACGACTGCTCCCCACCAACAAAGCACTTCCTCAAATAAGAATGCCCTGAGAGTCTTTCTGGTCTCTCACTGCAACATCCTCCACTCAGGTCAGAACAAGAGCACACACTGGGCCTGCACAATGTGCGTGTATCCGCCCACTTTCGACATATGCATTAAATCCACATGTCGCTTCTGGAACAGTCCCGACACGTGCACCATTGGAGGGGGGTACATGGTACTTGTACACCTTCTGAAGCTGACATTCATGACAGGTTTGGACGTACCTTTGACATCCTGGTCAACGTATCATCACCAGAACCACTCCAGCAACCTCGTCCAGATGATAAAGATGCCTTTGTGACCTAGCTCATCATGAGCTGTCTAGAGCAAGACATAATGGTGAGCCTGGTTTGGAACCCACTTGTGTCATCCCTGAGCATCCCTCTGCCATAGCTGACCTTCCCATACAAAGAAATGTGCCACCTTGCAGGCAAACCTGTTGAACTCCTTCTCGTTCAGTCTGTTCAATTTTTGTGGCTCTTCAAGAAAGCACTGGATTTTCTTCACCCGCTTGTCTGCCTTCTGAGCTGTTGGCATACAGAGAATATCTACATTTGTGACCTCCTCGGATGAGAACACTGACATGGTGCCCATTGTATCTTGCTCACATGTGCTGTATCAGCCCCGAAGCCTCATTTTGGGGCTAAGGTTGACCCATTCCACTGTGAATGTGCATGCTTCATCGATTCATTCTTCGAAGTCATCTGGTTCAGACTCATCTTCAACTGCCCCAGGTCACCGCAAAAGTCCGTCCACCACCTCATGTCGTGCCACTGGAACATGCACCAGGTTGAAGTCAAAAAGGAGAATCCCAGCTATTCAGCAGTTGATGGTTGCATTGGGTTGAATGTTCAGATTGTTAAGCATCCCTTTGACATATTTTGCATCTACCTCTACATCGAATGTCTTGAGCCTGATCAGATATATCTGGTATGCCCGCAGCACCCTAAATAGTCCAAAAAGTTCTATCTTCACCTGAGAGTACTGTGATTCCCACTCATTCCAGGTAATCAATCCAAAGCGGCTTGAATGCCATCATTTTTGCATGTCCAGCTGAAACAAAATGAACTCTACTGCTATTACTGATGAATAGACTGAAAGGATGACCTTTCCCCCTGAAGTATAGCTGATTGGGATGAGAGCTTCTGAGTTCATGACCACATCCTTGAATATCTGCATAGCCTGCACATGCTTGTCCCTCCACTCAAAATCTGCCTCCTTCTTGAGCAGGGTGATAAGAGGCTTTGCAATCTTCGCAGAGTCTTTCACAAAGATTCATATGAGCCTGCACATTCCCAGAAACCCCCTTACCTGTGAGACCATCTTGCACTGCGGCCAGTCCCAAATCTTCTGCACTCAGGCCTCATCCGGAAGCCACCCCACATACGTACATTGGTGCCTGACAATGACCACCTCCGGGATGCATAAATAAGCCTTTTTGCTCAAAAATGTTCCTCCGAAATGTTTCATCTGATGTATGACCTGGTTCATATTTTGGAAGTGCTCCCATACAAATTGTTGAATCTCTGGGTTCTCAGGAATATTCTAGTACCCACCCTCCAGAAGCTCATAATGTGTCTCGGGCCCCTTCACTGGCACATTGTCGATGAAGGAAACAGCGACCTCTGGTATCTCATTCTGCAGAATGTGCATCACATCATTATCATGATTTGCAATGAATTGGTATAGCCCATCAGAATCGAGGTAAGCCAGATAGACCCTAGCAGAGTCTGGAAGGAGGTCAAGTCCCAAGACTGCTGGTCGAAAGCAACAAATAGGTTCAGGCATCCATAGCACCCACAAGCCCTGAAGGATTCCACCAGATGCTCCACCATCGGAGGGACTGCTGAATCTTTAATTGCTATCCTGTTCAGCAGCTGCAGGTCATGAATCAGCTGGAGTGACTTCCCGTCCTTCTTGACAATGCAGAACCACCTTGAACGATATGATTAATCTTGTCCTTGATGATCTGTACCACTTGTTCAAATATTCTCAGTGATATTGGCATGTTCTTGAGCACCCATGAAATGTGTTCCACCATCGGGATGACCACCTGATCAAAATACTTGTCCTGAAACTGTCCCTTCTCCATTTCGTTCCATGCAAATGCCGTGTCATGTGCACACATTAAGAAATCTGTGAGCTTCACATCCTCTGGCTATAGAAAACTGTCACCCATGACATTAAGTGCATTACACCTCTCTCATGTGTACCTCCCCCAAGGCTTAAATTCGGGTGGGTGGACCGGTAAGGTTGGAAGCTCCTCCAGCAGCCTTGCCAGTTTTCTTTGCACAATTTGGAACTCTTCTGGTAATGTGGTCATGATGGGCTTGACCCGGTTAGCCACATTCTTGTAGACAAATACTTCTGTCTCTTGTTTCTCAACCATGACCCATCCCATCTTCCCATGACTCCACACTCTCATCTCCTCAGTTCAAAACCCAGTCCAAAGATTCATGCACTCACATCCCGTGTCATACAGCAAAGAAAAATGTATTTCAGATTTGGTGACTTTACATGGGATGCAAGATGATGTGGAACTAACAGATGCAGTTTCAGACTGTACTCAGCTCTTTTCTGTGCACGCCTTTTTCTCCTCAGGGTGTGTCTCTTTTATGGATCTGTCTATCCTCCCCTTCAGACTCCATTGAACAGTTCACGGCAATGTGAGCACATACACGGAATACAATCCTAATATCACATCTCCTTGAGCTATGCCCAATTTATCAACCCATGAAAACCTGCGAGGCTCAGATCGACTTTCTGTTGCATGGTCCGTGCTTTTGTTGGTACCATGACCTGTTCCCCCAAGTGTGGGTCTGTGATCATGATTTGCTGCTCTCTGGAGGTAAAGTCTCAAGTCTCGCAAGCTGCCATAGCAAAGAATGGCTGTTCTAAGAGGATTTTAAATGGTGCATGGTGCACTATCTGGACATGTGTCGCAATGATGATTGACCCGAAGTGGAGCTGAACACATGGGAGCTTCCTGATCATCTTCTCTACTGAGGTGTTTGCAGTTTTAAGCAGGATTGCTCCATCTGGGTTGAGAGGGGCTCTGAGGTCTTTCCAAATGTCCTCTCGCATGATGCATATCTGCGTGCCCTGATTCAGAATACACTTGCACTAGAGCATGTCTTTGATGATCAGTTCAACAATCTGAAGTGGGAGCAATCCCTTCATAGGCAACATTGTCTTAGAGGCTGTCAGAAATATGCTCTCCTCACCCACATCAACCTCATATTCATCTGTGACTTCTTCGACCCAAGCAGTTGTTGCGACATGCTTTGGGGTGATCAGCTCCTTGAGGTGTTTCCATGGCTTTGAGGCATGCTGCATAAGTTCTTCAACAGTGACTGTTATGGGTAGGTCGAGTATTTTTTCAACTAGCCTGGGAAAGTTCTTCTTGTCTTCGATCAGGGTGCAGTACCCATAAATGGGCTGCGAGGCTGAAACCCTCCCCGGAAGTGAACTTGCTTTAATTCTAGGTAAGCCCTTCTGCACTCTGTGTCCTTCCCTGGGCACAACCTTATCTTTTCCAGGCTTGCCACTGACCACCTCAACCCCATCGAAATGTACTCTTCATCGATCATTGTCCATCACCTGGAACACATGCTCCATTTCATCCACATTTCATGATTCATCGATGACTGCCATGTTGACCTCATGCACTTCTTTAAGTATATTGACTTGGTGTGGTGGCTTGTCCCTTGATTGTGGAGTTGCAGCAGACTGTGCCATTTCTGGGACAGATGATCTGAGGTGCTGTGAGTACCAGGAGTTAACCTGGTCCTGCATGTTGTTTCCAGGCAGTGCCCTCAGAACATACCCTCTGTCGAGCAGTCAGATGTGACCATTCTTGTCACGGTATACCTTTCTGGCCTTGATGTCTTTGTCCACTTGGGGACAATGGCTCATGAAGTGATCTGGTCCATTGCAATAGTTGCAATTGCAGTTCGTGGTGTAGCCTGTCATGTTTCTGAGGGCTCCTGCCACAGCCCTAGCTGCTGATGTGGTGGCCAGTTCTTGTGATGCATAACTTTTCCAGTGACCCTGTCCACCTGTGTTAGACTGAGCCTGACTCTGTAAGAAGCTCATCAGGTGTTTCACCGACTTTCGCAGGTCCGCAATTTCATCAGACTGGCTTGATCACTGCAGCAGTTGCCCTGGAAGCCATCCCACCAGTTGTAGTATTTGCAGCTGATTCCATGGTGGGAGCAGCTGGAGTAATTCCTGAACTGCTTGCACTCACTCCACCTCCAAGTATACCATAGCTACCCCCAACTAAACCTACCCCCACCAGAGTCTTCCATAGCTACCCCCAACTAAACCTCCTCCACCAGCATCATGGACATTGTTCATGCTCCATGGATCATCCAGGTGATGGTTTGGGTGCAGTATCTTGCATTGGAGCAAAATGGTCACTTTCTCGGTTGGGTGGAATCCCCCTGACATACCACTCATCCTGGGCTGCAGGTGACACTCATTTCATTCAGATCAGGTAGTTCACTATCAGGGCAAATTCACAGAAATAGATAGCTTCTTCAGCATGAGTGTGAATGTCTTGGGCAAGTGCTTCAGAGATGCACTGTTCCAGGTCAGCAATGGTGTAGAGTCAATTACCCTCTGCCTCGGGGTACAATTCAAAAATCTGCTATCTGAACATCACGTAGTCAGCCATTGCTGTCATGGGGACCATAGACCATAATCCCTCCTATTGTACGGTGAGGTAGCACAGTGCATAGTGAACATTTTGTGCACCTGTGAGTCCAGCCTGTATTGCCAGCTTGTCTAGGTCATCAAAGTATCGACACAGCTTTCAAGGCTCTTCATCGAATGTTAGAGCAGTTTTCTGTCCTCAGGCCAGCATCAAGAAGCCCATTCCCAGACCTTGTCCTGGTCCTGGTTCTGGTTCACCGCTGCCACTGCCTGATCCTCCTGATCCACCTGGTCCTTCACCTCCTCCTCCACTGCTGCCTGATCCCCCACTGTATCCACTGTCAAATCTGCTCGATCTGCTCAGGCCACTGCCTGAGTTTCTGCCCAGTTCACCTCCTCCCCCACTACTGCCACTGCTCCCTCCGCTACTGCTGTGAGATCCTCTGTTGCCTGGACCAGATCCTCTACTGTGCTCTGCCATGGTGAAAATCAGTATCTGTGGGGCGAACACTGACCGAGTCCCAGTTATGAGCTCCAGGAATCACTGAATAGTGACCATTGGGGCCATCTCACCTGATGCTCCTTCAGGCATGTAGGAGAGCATATGTTTTTGTTTTCGTACCTCGGACAGGGTCATCACTGTTTCCCTCAGTATCACAAAGTGCTCAGAGAGAATCACAGAGAGGTCTCGTAGTATGAAATCTTCTTGCCACGCTATGTCCATTACATCATCGTACATTGACAGTTCATATTCTTCAACTCCTGCCGTGATGCTGTCGATGAGAATTTTGGGGTACAGATTTTCAGTAGTCATTCTGAAATCAGATGCGGTCTCAATCGCTTCCTCAAAAATTTTGTTTGAAATGCTTGGCACTGCTGAAAGTGTTGATAAAGCTGAGGCATCTACATCCAGGGAGTCTGTTCTGCCCGACGCTCTTTCTTGGTAAGGGCTTGGGCCACCCTGACTTGGCTTCAGGTCTTCACCTTCCTAAATATTTCCCTCCTCATGGTAGGCTCCAGAAAATGTGATTGTGAGTACTCAGCTAGCTGTAAAAGGACAGCAAACAACTGAGTGGGGTGAAGGTGAAACAGTGTGGGAAAGGTCTGTGTCTAAAGGCAATGCAAGAGCCAAATGTAAAATATGATGAAGAAGTGAATCAACAAGGCAGCCAATAGACCAGCAGCCATGTAAAGTGTATGGGCCAAGATGATGTACATGAGATACGCATGATAGAATGGTTCCGGGATGAGTCTAATGACTTTTGGACAGAGTACAGAAACCTCGGGAGGCAGATGTACTGTCTCAGTAGCAATGTTCTGATGGTCGATCAAGCACATTCGACAGTGAGAGCAAAGATTCTGATTAGACTGTGAAGTATCATTTTCTCACCTTGCTTGTCTCGTTCTGAATCCCTTTGAGGGCCTGCCACTGTGGATCACCCCATCATGTCTTGTTCCAAATCCCTTGAAGGGCCTGCCACTGTGGACCACCCCATCACCTCTCATTCTGAATTCCTTGGAGGGCCTGCTGCTGCGGACCATCCCATCATGTCTTGTTCTGAATCCCTCACCTTCTACTCACCTATGTCACACTCCACTCACTGCATTCCCTGAGAGCTCATCCCTACCATCAGCCCGTACCACAGAAGTTTCCTTGTTCTCATCCTGAAGGTACCCCTGCTGCTCTTCGAACATCCCACCCATGCTGCCTCAACAGTTTCACCTGTTTCTTGGCCCATGCTCATATGCTGGGTTTTCCTGGCATCATCTTAAACATGGTCTCCCATCGATACCTCATTCAGTCCACAGCTGCAGTCCTCAGACACATCTGCATCTCAACCCGCTTGCCCCTTCTCGTGCCCCTCCCAGCCATTGCCACTCTCCACCCTATTCTCATCTTGCCATGTCTCACACACCAGATGGCATCCCTGGTAAACAGCAATCCATCTACACCCTGTGCATACATCGATACCTTCTGCTGCTCAAGGCTCCATCCATGAAACGCATACATGTTCTGTTCAATTCACGTCCCGCTGTGGTTGAGTGGAATAAATGGTGCCACTGAGTCCAATCCCTCCTGGTATGTGTCCTATGTCTTCTTTTCTCCTCCATTTGGATTGACCCATAGCCTCAGGAGCTTGCTGACACTGCCTGCACTGAGCTCACCCAGACTGGAATGCAAGTGCCACCAACTGACTCCTTTGAGTGGGTCAGTGATCTCCATGCCCTCACTGCCTTCCCCTTGTCACACGACCACAGTTTAAGGTCAGCCACAATGGTTGGGGATCTTTTCTCAGATTCTCGATTGTGGCAATGCTTGCTTGACATGCTCAGGTGAAGATCGTTGCACCCCAACATTCTCTCGTCCGAAGCTTTCACCTTCCTTTCACTCCAACATGGCCAGCCTTCAGCTGTGTCATACACCTCCATGCCTGTAGAAGCTGGTGATGATCTGGACCATACGCTGCATCTGGAGGACTTTTTTTGGAGGCAACGGTTGGTTCTGAGGTTGTGTCCCGAGGTTTGGAGGGCCCTGTCCATGTAGACGATTCATAGCACAGTCTTAATGTACCTGTCCTGCCCTGAACGTGATGTACTGTTCTGCTCTGAGCTTGCTGTTAAATGTTAGGAGCACAATTATAGTGAGGGCAGCCATGCTGGCCATCTCACAGCATGGGTGGGGACTAGTCATTTGAGAAGCATGTTGAATGGACCATGGTGGTATATGATAGTGCCTCCTCCCACCCACCGGGGAGGGTCGTATCAGTATCCCATTTTTGTTGTCTGCACCAGTGTATGTTCTGTATAGCCTGAATAGACATTTATCATGCTCACCTGTCCTGATGCAGCTGCCCTGCCTGCTCCTGTAGTACCTTAAAAGAAAGAGGAAGGTTGGAGCCCACTTGACTTTGGCCTTCCTGCCCTGCAAGTCATGTGCTGGGGCATGTCCTTGAAGAAAACTGTGCTTCCATGCCTTGATGTCCTGCAGCACATCTCTGTGGTCTCCTCTCACATGATTCATGACCTTCCATCAGTTATACTGTGTGTGCACCCTCAGCTTGCCCATCTAATTGATCACTTCTCTGTGGCTTCTGCCTCATATCTTTTGGAGATGTGGGATGCATTTTTACCCCAACTCCGTATTCAGAAAAGTCTGTGAGTATGTTGCCACACTCGATCTGCCTTCTATAGCCATACTCATTCACCCACAGCTCGACTTGCAGAACTACATCACCATTAAAGCCTTCCTAGGGAAACCCTTGCCATCCCCACTCAGGTGGTCTGCCCTTCATCAACCGATAGCACTGTTTCATGTGTGGAGGGCCCGAGGTGAGGAGCTGAACTGTCCACACCTTGACCTGGCCCCAAAGACCTCCTACCTTAGACCCGGACCAACTCTCCTTCTCATGACACAATCTATGACACCCCCCATCAGGTTCACACCCTCCATTGAAATTCTCACTCTTTCACCCTTTATGGCTGCACTTGTGGCTGCCAGAAATCTGTCCGAGTCCATGTCTAACCATGCCCATCAAGTCACTGTAATCGAAGATGTCGTAGTGTCCATGTACCATTCCCTTGAAGTGAGATACAACTGCATTTTTACTCATGCATGCATGACCCTGAAAGAACACTTAACGCAGACACTCGAGGCCTCAATGCATGAAGTGATAGAAGATGAGATTGTGAATATAAAAAGTGACCTGAACACTGCAGTTCATCATGACTGGGTCATGTTACTCACACTGGTGCACGATCTCCGAGACATGTCCCTTCCTAACACTGAGTTCACCTTCACCATCTCTTGCCTTTCCTGGGCATTCACTGAAGCCCTCCATCAGCACAAACACCTCTGCGATGAACTCTCAACTCTCATCACTAGCCTCCAGTTTCTTCTTCTAATTGCCTCCGCAATGAACATGACCCAAACTTCGAGCACAGCCCCTCAACCTCCCCCTCTGGGATGACTCCTGATCTCTCCAGACTTTCTCCCCCACTTTCTCTAACTTTTTCCCTTTCTCTTTCTCTTTCTCTTCCTCCCACCCCTTCTCAATTGTATTCAGTTTCCCCTGCACCTCATCCAGCTCCTGATGTAGTACGTCCGTTAAAGACACCTTCGGGTCAGTTTGCGACTTGTATAGAATAACTCTAAAAGCTGCATAGCGGTGCTTTGAAATAGAACCATCCAACTCAGCTAGAATGTAGGAGCCCCCCATGTTGCATTGGATCATGACCATCAGGCCCACATATCATGGTTTTGACTTCTGATTGTGATCCGTCTCGAATTGTGAGTTTCGTACCAGCACCAAGTCCCCTTCTGAGAACACAAACTCTCAGATCATGTTCTTGAATGCCTTTTTGAACTGTTTGATCAACTTATACTGTGATTTCTTAATCTGTCTCCTCACCACCTCCAGGTCCTCTTGTTGCTTAAGTAGCTGTCAGGCCCAGACTGCAATGAGCTGCCCTGTCGACATCAGCTCATCCATCGCTGGAGAGAGGTATGTCACCTCAGCCAAATTGAAAGGAAATATTGGCTCGACACCATGGACCATGTAGTAGGGAGATCGCCTGGTACTCTTCTGAATGGAGACCTGCTCAGCCCAAAACACAGCATGTATCACCTTCGGCCAATCCATCATGTTTCCTGTCCTGCACACCTTCATGACCACCTCTCAGACATCAAAATTCCTTCACTCCATAATCCCATTCACCTGCGAGTTGTATGCCAAGATTCAGATGTGCGTGATTCCATAGCACTTTCGGAGGTGTTCCAGTGCCACTACGAATGGGGCCCCATTATCTGTTATGATCTCAGCCACAGTTCCTCACCACGAAAGCACCTCCTTGAACAGGAACATCCCGAGAGTCTTCCTGGTTTCTCAGCAGAGCATCCTTCACTCAGGCCAAGCTGTTAGTGTGCATTAGGCCTGAACAATGTGAGTGTAACCTCCAGCTGTCAGCATGTGCATCGAGTCCACATGTAGCTTCTGAAATAGCATCAGGATAGGTACCATCATGGAAGGTACGTGATACTTGTATACCTTCTGGACCTGGCACTTGTGACATGTCTTGACATACAATTTGACGTCCTGATCCAGATAGGGTCACCAGAATTGCTCCAGCAGGCATGTCCACACAATGAAGATTCCCTTATGACCCAGTTCATTGTGCACCACCTGAAGCAATCAATACTGCTGGGACTCATCCAGTACACATTTATGCTGCTGCTGGGGATCCCTCCACCATAAGTGTCCATCTCTGATGAAGAAGCACCCTGCCTCATGAATGAATCATCTGAATTCCTTCTTCGATAGCCCCTCCAGCCATCGCAGATCCTCCAGAAACTTCTGTATGCCCCTCAACCTCACATCAGCCTTCCTTGCCTTCACACCTCATGGAATGTCCTGTTTATCAGCCTTTCTTGAGGAGAATACTGACACACCTTGCCCGATCCTGTTCTACCCACTGCATACTTTTCTCTGCCTTCCCGGTCCATTCCCAGATTGACTCATTCCACCATGAATGCACATGCCTCATCAATTCATTCCTCAAAATCATCCTCCTCCAGAGTGTCTTCATCCACCTTCAGGCACCATGAGAGTCCATCCATTGCCTCGTGCCGGACCACCGGAACATGTACCAGGTTAAACTTGAACAACAGAATTTCCGCAATTCAGTGGTTGATCATCACATTCGGTTGGATATTGAGCATCCCCTTAATATACTTCACATCCACCTCGACATCAAACATGTCCAGCCCGATGAGAAAAATGTGGTACACGCACAGCACCTGGAACAGTCCAAAGAGCTCAATTTTTGCCTGTGAGTACTGCAACTCCTGTTCATTCCAGGTTATTGACCCAAACCAGCTCAGCTGCCACCACTTTTCAGCATCCATTTGAAACAGAATGAACCCCATCGAAATCACTGAAGAGTTGACTGCAAGGATGACTTTCCGCTTAGATTGATAGTTAATCAGGACAAGTGCTCTGGAGTGCATCACCACATCCTTGAGCCATTGCATGGTGGACCTCTTTCTTCAGCAGGGTAGTAAGTGGCCATGTGATCGTCGTGAAATCCTTGACAAAAATTCAGACAAGCCCACATATTTTGAGGAAGCCCTGCACCTGAGACACCAATTCACATGGTGGTCAGTCCCTAATTTTCTATATCCAGGACTCGTCCAGTAGATGCCCCGCATATGTGCAGCGATGTCTGATGATGACTACCTCCGATATGCACAAATAGGCCTTATATCTGGAAAACATTTTCCCAAAATGGCCCATATGATGTAAAATCCAGTTCATGTTCTGGAGATGCTCCCAAATGAACTGCCTAATCCCCAGATTCTCTGAAATTGTCTCATAGCCACCACCCAGAAGCTCGTACTGCATCTCGGGACCCTTGACCGGAACATCATCCATAAAGGGAACCGTCACCCCAGAAATCTTATTTCACAGAATATGCGTAACATCTCCATGCATGATCGTCATGGAATTGATGTATCCCATGGGTATCGAGGTAAGGCAGAGCAAGCCTAATGGTGTCTGAAATGATGTCAAGTCCCATGACCATTGGTTCAGGATTCGCTGATAGAAGGCAATGAACAAGTCCAAACTTCTGTAGCATCTCCATGCCCCAAATGATTCTGCAAGGTGCTTGACCATCGAAGGGACTGCATTGTCCTTAATTGCCACCCCGATCAATGACTGCAAGTAATGTACCAGTCGGAGTGACTTCCCATCTTTCTTGACCATGCAGAACCACTGGGACCGATATGATGAGTTCAAAGTCTCATAGACCCCCAAGTCCATCTTGTCCTTGATGATCTGCATGACTTGGTCGAAGATTTTTGAAGGAATCAGCATGTTCTTTAGGATCTACAGGACATGTTCCATCATCGGAATTATGACCAGGTTGAAGTACTCCTCCTGAAACTGCCCCTTCTCTGACTCATCCCAGGTAAAGGTCTCATTGTGAGTGTGCATGAAAAAGTCGACTAGCTTTGCCTCCTTGGGCCAAAGGAAACTGCTGCCCAAAATGTCCAGAGCATTGCACCATTCCTGGGTGTACCTGCCCTGAGATACGTACTCCGCTGGACAAGTTGACAGCACCAGAAGCCCTTCTAATGGATCGGATGGCTTTCTATGCACGATTCAAAACTCTTCAGGTAGAGTGATGGCAATGGGCTTGACTTGATTGGTGATCTTCTTGCATGCTAAGACCTTCATTTCCTGCTCCCTGACTCTCAACCCCCTGCCTCTTCCTGATCTCACACCCTCATCTCTTCCATCCAAAAACTGCCCAGAGGATTCTCATGCTCATGTCCCATGTCATACAGTGAAAATAAATGTATTTCTGATTCGGTGACATTACATGAAACTTGAGATGATGAAGAAATTACTGACACAGTTTCAGAAGGTACCCGGCTCTTTTCTGGGCCCATTCCCTTCTCTCTGAGGTGTATCCCTGTTCGCATTCCACCTTTCCTCCCCTCCAAACTCTGTTGAACAGTCTTCGGTGACATGATCACATATACGGAGTACAATCCTATTAACACATCTTGTCGAGCTAGGCTCAATTCATCAACTCTTGAAAATCCAGCTGTGCCAGATTCACTCTGCATTGTGCAGCCTGAGCTTTTGTGGGCACCACAACATGCTCCCCCAAGTGCAGGTCCATGATGGTGATTTGCTGCTCCCTGGAGGCAAAGTCTCAGGTCTCGCATGCCAAGGTAGTGAAGAAAGGCCATCCCAGAAGTATCTTGAATGGCACATGCTGACTGACTTGGACCTGTACTGTGATGATGACCATTCCGAAGTAAAGACACACACATGGAAGCTTCCTGATGATCTTAGTCACTGAAGTGTTCACGGTCTCGAGTAGGATCGCCCCGTCTGGGTTGAGTGGTGCTCTGAGGTCCTGCCAGATATCTTGACGCATTATGCAAATCTGAGCACCTTGGTCCAGAATCCACTCGCACTGCAAGGTGTCCTCGATGATTGATTCTATGATCTGCAGCGACAACGAATCCTTGGTCAGCAGCATAGTCTTCGAGGTGGTCAGGTACATGCTCTGTTCACCTTCATCATCCTCGCCCTCATCTGCCACTTCCTCAATCTGGGCCATTGTCACCACATGCTTTGGGGTGATGAGCTCCTTTAGGTGTTTTTGCAGCTTCGAGGCATGTTTCATGAGCTCGCCCACTGTAACCATCACTGGTAGATCCAGTATTTTTTTGACCAGCCCCAGGACATCCTTTTTATCCTCAATTAACATGCAATATCCATAGGCAGGCTGCGAAGCTGGGATACCCCCTGAAAGTGAAGTGGCCTTGATCTCGAATGGTACCTTCTGCACCGTGTGACTCTCTCCAGATGTAACCTTCTCCTTGTTGGAACTCCCCACAACTACCTTGACCCCATCAAACTGTACCCTTTGCCTCCCTTCATCCACTACCTGCAAGACCATTCCCAATGTTCCTGCCCTCCTGCCTCATCGATGACCACCATGTTTATCCCATGGACCTCTTCTAGAATATTAACCTGATGCGGGGGCTTGTCACATGCCTGGGCTGTTGCCATAGACTGTGCTGTCATTGTTGCCGAAGCCCCAAGATGCTGGGCATATCAGGAGTTGACTCGTTTTCTCATATTGTTTCCAGGCAGCACTCTCGGGATGTACGCTTCATTCAGCAATCGAACCCGACCATTCTCATCATAATAGACCTTCCTGGCCTTTATGTCCTCGTCCACACATGGGCAGCATCCCATAAAGTGATCCAGTTCATCGCAGTAGTTGCAGTTCCTATTGATGGGGTACCCTAAGCCAGCCATATTTTCCTGTGCTCCCACTGCTGCCCTTGCTGCCAATGTGTTCATCGACCCCTGTGCTGCATAATCTCCTCAATGACTCTGCCCACTGTCCGACTGAACTTGACTCTGCAGGAAACTCGTTAGGTGATCCACCGACTTGTGCTGGTTTGCAATCCCATCCAGCTCCTGCTTAATGGTTGTTCCAACTGCCTCGAGACTCATCCCATTCGCAGTTACAGGCCCCATCACATTGGTTCTCCCTTGTTGCCCACCCTGAACTGTTCCCACACCCCCAGAACTCATTCCGCCCCTGAGAATCCCATAGCTCCCTCCAATAAGACCTCCACCAGGTAGGGTTTTCTGCATGACGTCGTGTACATTGTTCACATTTCAGGTGTCATCAGGATGGTGATTGAGATGAAGTATCTCACAATGAAGCAAGATCGTCACCTTTTCAGCCAGGTGAAAACCCTAGATGTACTGCTCATCCCATGCTGCGAGTGAAACCTGTCCCATCCAAATAAGGTAGTTCATGATCGGGGCAAATCATGGAAGTAGATTGCCTCTTCAGAGCAAGTATGGACACCTCAGGTGAGAGCCTCCACAATGCACTGCTCGAGATCAGCAATGGTGTAGAGATGGTCACCTTCTGCCCCTGGATAGAGCTCAAAGATCTGTTGCTTGAAGAGGGCATAGTCTGCAGTGGATGTCACAGGGACTGTCAACCATAGCTCCTCCTGCTGAACCATTAAGTAGTGCAGTGCATAATGAATTCTCTGCCCACCGTAAGTCTGGTCTGTACCACCAGCTCCTCCAGGTCATCAAAGTATCATCTAAGCTTTCTAGGTTTCCCATCAAATGTCGGCGCCATCTTCTGTCCACATGCTGGCATAATGAAACCTCTTCTGGGTGCTTGCCCTGACCCCTGTCCTCCTCCTCCTCCTCCATCTGGTCCTGGTCTGCCACCATTGCCACCTCCACCTGATCCTCCACTTCTGCCTCCTCCTGGTCTGGATCTGCCACCTGATCCTACATCACCACTGCTGTCCATGCCACTGCCTCCACTACCCAGTTTGCCCGATCTGCTAAATCCTTTTCCTGCATTACTTCCCTGTCCTGAACCTCTGCCACTACCTCTGTCCCCACCTCCTCCTCCTCCTCTGCCTCTTCCTCCTCCCATGTATTTCTCTGGGTTTCCAGATGCTGTAGCATGTCCTGCTGCTGACAATACTGGAATCCAGGGCATGTACCTGGACTGAGTTATGGTGCCCGTTTGCACAGGAGTCTGAATCATGGTCGTCCACCCCATTTCAGCAATAGTCAGTATAGCTGAGTAGGACACAGTGTGCTTTCACTTCCTAACCTTGGGCAGTGTCTGCTCAATTTCCCTTGTAATGGAGAAGTGACTGGGAAGGATTGCTGAAAGATCATGGAGGATGGAGTCCTCATTCCGAGCCATGTCCATTGCATCGTCATATGCTGAAGGCTCATACTCATCCGTCTCGTCCTCTCGTTCACTGATCAAAATCTCCGAGTACAATCTGTCCATGCTTGGTGCAGGCTCAGATGCAGTCTCGATGACTGTCTCTGAGTTTTTGTCTGAAAGGCTGAGCGTTGCTGAGGAAACTGATGAATTTAAAATGTCCACATCTGGCAAGTCTGACTGTTCCTGTCTCCTCTCCTTGGCAAGGGCTTGGGTTGCCCTGACTTGACTCCTGGTCTTGACTTTTTGAAACTTTTCCCTCCTCATGGTGGGCTCCAGAAAATGTGATTGCGAGTACTCAGCTAGCTGTGAAATGACAGCAAACAACTGAGAGGGATGAAGGTGGAACAGTGCATGGAAGGTTTGTGTCTAGAGGCAATGCAGAAGCCAAATGTAGAAGATGGTGGAGAAATGAATGAAAGCAATGCCCAAAAGGACAGCGAGCCCATAAAGGACATGGCCCGGTGTGATGTACATGAAGTACGTGCAATAGAACAGCTCCGGGGTGAGTCTGACTGGCTTCGGATGGAATACAGGAGTCTCAGGATGAGGGCATACCATGTCTGCTGCTGCACTCTGCTGGTTCACAAGATTCATTTGACAGTGAGAGCAAAGATGAGAGTTCTGATGCATAGTAGAGTCTGAAGCCTGAGAGGAGAACTGAGACCACTGTCCCTGTTGCTGTTCACTGCTGTGCAAACCCCTTCACATTCTCTGGCTCATAGGTACATGGTCTGAAAAGCTCTCCCCATTCTCTATCTATGCATTCTTTAAATATCGCAATTCTGGAATGTGCTCACCCCGGTCCTCGCTCCCATATCTGACCACACTTGATCCTCAATCCATTGACTTGTTCCACTATTCCTCATTCTCTCAGAGGGCCTGCTGCTGCTGACCACTCCATCGCATTGTGTTCCAAACCTGCATTTCACTATTTGTTTCCATAGAGACCCACTCATTCCAACTCCTGGTTTGCCACCCCCAATGCTTGCCCTCCACTGCATTAAGTCCTGCCGACTTCCCCTGCAACCTCATAACTGTGTTCTCATTCACCTGCCTCGCTGTCATGATGGTTCACCCCTGCCCCAATCTGACCTCACCCCTCTGCCCAAGACTGGGTGCTCCCTCCAACAGCTTTTCATTGGCTTCACCCCCTAGAGTTTGAAGACCCACTCTAAGACTCTGTCCATGTCTGGGTCTTTGCCCATCCTTGCCCCTCATCTCCATCTCTTCTCCCACCCAGTCATATCTCACACCATGCAGGCTCAGCTTGATTCTCTGGCTATTACTTGCACTGCCTGGCTCCATCACTGCCTCCTCTTGCTTGAGGTGCTGGCATTCGAGCATGCCCATATTCCATCCAGGTCGCATCCCACTATGGTTGAGTGATATCACTGACACACTGCCGGTATTTGACCTGAGAGAACTCATTCTGTGTGGGGGCAGCCCGGAACACCACCTCACAGCATGGTGTCGATGACCTGAGCCACTGCACATTGGCAATCTGTGAAGGAGGTGCCTAGGGATGTGAGGGTGAGGAGTTCCCCTCATTCCTTGTTGGTCTCCTTTCGCTTGTAGCCTGTGTAAAGATCTTTCTGGTGATTGGCTTTGCACTTTGGTGCCTTGGGCTGCTCAGTGTCTTGCTGAGGCTCATGCCTGGTAGATATTGGATTGAAATGTGTGTCAAAAATGCTGCGCGCTACAGCTGACTGCTTGCACTGAAAATATGCAGCCACTAGTGTTAGACACTTAGCAGGGGTGTAGAAAATTGTCAGATCATTTCTAATGTCACGGCACTATGCCACAAACAAAGAAATGACAAATAAAAGAAAAAACCCAAAGGTAATCCCTGTGGCAGCACTTGTGCAACCAAAAGACTACTCACTGATGTGGAGCAAGTCTGGAATGATGATAGATATATATGAGGCTTGGTAAGCCTAGTAGGTGCGTATACGATGAGGAGAAACGATCTGAGGTTCCTCGCTCTATAGGCTGGTCTTATATACATGTACAGAGGCTTGCTTACCTAACTATCCTACTATATGTGGTACAAGCTATTGACTATACATGGAACAATGGGTGAGATGATCTATCCATAAGTAGAACAATAAGTGAGAAAGATCTGTCATCACCACAGCAACTGTGAGAGTATTATGCCTGTAATGGTTCCTGGCTAAACTATTAGAAAATGGAAGGCCAATGCATAACTATAGTCCTTGTTCCTATTGTTCCTAAAAGGGCACCGCTATTGTATTCCTGGAATAGACTGATCTGCCTTTGATTATCTACAGATTGCAGATTGATTCGGTAAGATGCTTAGCTATCTAATCTAATAATAAGATCAAGTAACATGATGTGAAATAAATCTCGGTGCCACCACTGCATTTTCCTTATCACATGACCATAGTTTGAGATCTGCCATGACAGTTGGGGATCTGTTTTCAGATCCTTGATTGCAGCAACACTTGCATGATGCACTCGGGTGAACATCATTGCACCCCAATGTTACCCCGTCTGAAGCTTCCATATCCCTTCTGCCCCAACATGGCCCATCCTCAGCTATGCCCTACACCTCCATGCCTATATTGCTGGGTGATGATCCGAACTGTATGCTGTGCCTCGAGGACTTCTCTGGAGGGGAGGGTCAGTTTTGAGGTCACATTCTGAGGCCCAAAGTATGCTGTCCATGTAAATACAATCTGTAGTGCAGTCTTGATATATCTGTTTCACCTTGAGAGCTTGCTGTCGAATATTAGAGAGTGGATTTATAGTGAGGGCAGCCATGCTGGCCACCTCACAATGCAGTCAGTCACCACCAGCTCCTTCAGCCTGTCTGACTTCACCACCATCCTTAACCATGACATCAACATGTTCTATGCACTGTTGGGTGACTTGTCATACTACCTGAACATGGGCACATTGATGATGACGAATTTAAGTGCACTCTCTTGGGTAGATGTTGAGCAGTCTCCTTATAGATTGAGCTATTCGAACCTGATGATGGCACTCGCCCACAATCACATTGACTTCCTAGACTTGCCTAGAGTCAGGCTGATGAAGCAAAGACTTTTGTTATTCATTGTGAGTCCTGCTTCCATATATATATTACCCTGTACTCATCTCATCGTAGACTCATATTTTCAACTCACTGTGCAGACATATCATCAGAAAAACTCAAATCAGCTTGTGGCTCGAGAACCTCTTTTTTGAGTTTTCTTGCTGGTTTTGGCTTTTACAAGCCAAAAAGCGCACAATAAGAAGCTGCCAATCTGGATAAAAGCCTAAAACAAGGAGATTCTGAGACTTTCTTGGACTTACTGTCTTTTTGGGTGGTGACAAGCAGATAAAAGGATCATAAGCCATATTTGAGTTTTCCTGATGATCCATTCTCGAATGGCAACACTGGTTCCCCTATGATGCATAACAAATCAGAGATTTCTTCCAGTTTGAGGACATGCAGCAGGAGTTCACATTATTCTAGATGATGGCTTGGCAACATAAGTGGTCAATGTTGAGATGAACACAATGACAGCATATGTCGGTCAAATGAAAAAGCACTCCAATGCAACATATGCTGTAAGTATCATGGTGCTCATGCAGCTTGACAACTAGGAGAATGTGATTATGTAATGTTCTTCCCCCACATAGAGGGTGACACTTCTGTTAAAGCAGTGGCTTTGTGGAGAATAGTGAAGATGCTGTCATTGCTGACACCAGTTAGCTTATTGATGTCAAGTAGTACTGTAACCATCAGTGGAATGCATAGTAGCAACACTGATATAACAATGTTCCACCAGTTTTTCCACCTCATTAATGGGAGCTGCATCTTTCAGTAGCAGCAGTAGGGTCTAGATTATGGATCCTGTTTTTGGTTCACCTTAGTGGCATTTTGTACTTACATTTTTTGTCTACATCACTCTTGATGTTATGTTCCTTGTCATCCACACTATGCACACTATGGCTTTTGATAACACATACATATTTGTACAGCAAATGGCAAAATTACACACTGACATTAGAAAACAACTACCACATTCAATAGCCATGTTCACAGACCAAGGTGTATGAAAGGGAGCCATTTGTAAAATAACATGTTAGGATCCTGTTGCAATCGCTCTACTGCATAATGCAATGCCCTTGCAGCCTGCCTATGATCTGGTGGACTATCATTAGTGAACAACTGGGAATAAACATCTTCTGCGACTTGAGGGGCAACATCATCCAGAATTGACCACATTGTTGCAATCACCCCACTATAGCCAATAAACAGCATTCTTGCAGCAAGATGAACAGCTTCATCTGCAAGTTTCTTATCACCAGTAGCTGTTTGACAGGCTGACAAAAAGGCCAATCCTCCCTGTGGATGTGTCACTCTGACAATGTCAGATAGCTTCAAGCGTTGGTTATTTGCAAGTTGTAGTCCACTATTGACTGGATTTTGGGAGTCTTGAATTCCATGACATGCAAAATGAACCCAGCTGCACTTTTGTAGCTTGTCCAGTACATCATCTTTTCTTCCATCAGACTCCACAAGCAAGACTTGCATAGAGTTCAGCCTGTTAAGCCTATCCTTTATCTTAGAGATTTCCTCTTGTGTACCTGGAAGCTGAAAGAATTGACCATCTGAGCTTGGCTGAGCCACAGCCAGTAGATGAATATTCTGTGGAATGTTGTCTTCAGATGGTAAGATAAGTGCACTTAAAGTGGGAGTATATGATGATATGGCAAATTCTGAGAGCTTGACATTTGATTCAGCTTTTCCATATATGCCTGCAGCATGAATGGGAAGAAATGCCAGAGGGCCTGTGGGACACCAAAAAATTTGACTTAGATTAGAGCATGTTGAAGTTTGTTTCTAAATCAATCATCAGTTCAAATAATGAAAGGAGTGAAATAAAGGCATACTTGATAATCAAGTCTATCCAAGACTGGTTTGACAATTTTGGACCATAGCTCAGAAAGTATACTTTCAAATGAAGAGTATGCTCCATCACCAGAAAACTCCATTTTTGCTGCCCTGTCATCTCTGTCAATGGTAGTAAAGATAGTGTGGCAAGGCTGATGAAGAGTTTCACTGGGCATTGTGCTTAGAGTGATGTCATCTTGGTCAATAACACTTGAGATGATGCGGCCTTTATTTCTGAGCAATGAATTCAGTGATAGTTCAAGATTTTGTGCAATTTGATAGGTGAGACCATCAAGAGAAAGGTGGATCACATCTTTTGAGCCAGACACAATCAATAATGCATCACAATGCAACTGACTGCAGTTTAGGATGATCACTGGCCCAGAATGTGCACACTTCAAAAGCTGAGCCAGCTTTTTTGGCATCAAAAATTGTTCAAATCCTAGCATGGACCGAACTTCAGCCAGTAAAAGTTCCCATTTCTGTGCAAGTGCACGGTGCTGTTGAGCTTCTTTCTCCAAGGTCTCTTGTATTGCTTCCTGCTTGTCAAGTCTATAGCTTGCTTGTTCTAGCTGCTTTGAGATCTGAGAAATTTTACTTGCAAGTGTTGGATGCTTAGTCTGCAGATCATCAAAGGGAGTACGAAGCTGCAATTGCTGTTCCCAGACAATTGAACGCCCTTGCTCAAGCCATTCAACAGCAGTGTTATAGTGTCCAAACTGGATGGCTGTTGCAGCAGCATCTCTAGCAAGACTTGCTGCCTGAGTAAGTGCACCATAGCGATCTGAAAAGGGCAATCCAAGCCATGCCAAATTTGGAAGCAAAGTCAATGTGACATTATAGGCCTCAAAAAGGGATGAATGTTGCAATGCATGTGCACATTGAATCCACTTTTGACCAGCATGGAACCTCACAGAAAAGGGGCCAGTGGATGACTTAGCAGCTAATGAATATTGAATCATTGCCTTTTCGAGTGCAGAGTAAACTGCATAATCATCTGATGTCAGCTGCACTGCTTTGTGCTGCATAACAATGACCTGGTCAACATCTGCCAGGTTAAGAAGATGTTGAAAGTGGCTGAAGAAGGAGTTTCCAAGGCTGTTTAGCTTGCTAGGCTTGTCTGCATGATCATCTGGTGTCAGCTGCACTGCTTTTTGCTGCACATCAATGGCCTGATGAAGATCTGCAAGGTTATCAAGATGTTTAAAGCGGCTGAAGAAGGCGTTTCCAAGATTGGTGAGCTTGCTACGCTTGTCTGCATGATTATCTGGTGTCATCTGCACTGCTTTTTGCTGCACAGCAATGGCCTCTTCAATATCTGCAAGGTTTCTAAAATGATCAAAGCGACTATTAAAGGAGTTTCCAAGATATGTGTGCACGTCAGGCTTGTCTGAATGATTATCTGGTGTCAGCTTCACTGCTTTTTGCAGCATAGTAATAGCCTGATTAACATCTGCAAGATCTCCAACATGATCAAAGCGACTCGAAAAGAAGGCTCCAAGATTGCTAAGCCAGCCAGGCTTGTTTGCATGACCATCAGGTGTCAACTGCACTGCTTGTTGCACCACAGTGATGACCTGGTTAATATCTGCAAGGTTACCAATATGTTTAAAGCACCAGAAGAAGGAGGCTCCAAGATTGTTGAGCATGCCAGGCTTGGCTGCATGATCATCAGGTGTCAACTGCACTGCTTGTTGCATCACAGTGATGGCCTGGTCAATATCTGCAAGGTTACCAAGATGTTTA